CTGCTTTGTGTGGAAATCCAACCAACCACTCGTTTGGCATACAAAAAGCAAGCTTAATTTTTCTTGGATACTCATTTGGGCTAGAACGTGGAGAAATTTTGAAAAAATTGGAAAAAATCCAAGATAGCAGAGGCCTGCTCATTGGTGGCCCAACGCGGTCGGCTTGCACGGGGTGATCGCAGTGATAGCTCGTCGACGTAATGCTTTTCGTTCTTGAAGATGCAAGCTGGTGCGATCCCATTCGCTCATCAACGCCTATCATACTTGCCGATCCATTCTCGAGATGCACGCCGCCTGTCTTTTTTGGTAAATATTGTCAAAATCGGTGTTAAATATTGTCAAAACGATAGAGCACGTCGTACACGTCATTTGGCAATGCGCCATCGTATGTGAGGATACCACCCATCGACCCGCTCGTGTGTTGCTGTGAAGTGAAAGACGGTATTGTCGTCGCTAGCGTTGCGTCAACTGTCGCTAATACCGTCGACACGACAAGCACACACACGCTCAACGACTGGCGCTGGCCACACGTTGAAATTGCACTTGTGAAATATTGTCAAAACGCTGGCGCCAAGGACGTTAAATATTGTCATGACCGATCAGAACTGATAGGCCCAGATCCTCGATTTTCGAACGCGAGGTCACAGGCGGCGCGGATATTTCGTCCCAACACGGACCAAGGGATCGGCGTCGACAGGCGGGAATGTCGTTGAACCGAGGGTGTCCTTTGCCGCTGCGTCCAGCATTGGTACTACCCTTGTGGCGACGCGGGAACCAAGCATCCACGGATCGCACAAGCGAATTTACACCATGCAACGCACGCTGAGTAAGCTCGCGACGCGCCGCTACTCGACGCAGTGGCGGTCGTTTAGCGCCCTCCACCCGTCGCTCAAGCAGAATGACTTGACGTCCATTACGCTCCATGTGACCAACCACCCGGGGTCGCTGCGCCCGGTCCTCGATATGTTTGCCAAGCACCGCGTGAACCTCACGCACATTACGTCGCAGCCGACTACGTCGATTGAGCCCAACAACGACTATGCGATTTCGATCGATTTTCAAGGCAAACCCGGCACGGCCGGCATCGACAACCTCCTGCGCGAGCTCGAGGCGCACTGCGCATCGCTGACGCTCGCCCATGACAAGACGGGTACTTGTGTATGTTTTGGATGGACACAAATGTCTAAAGATGGTATACCTGTCTAGTGCCCTGGTTTCCGCTGCACATTAGCGACCTCGACATTGCGGCCCGCCATACGCTCCAGGCCGGCACCGACATTGACGCCGACCACCCTGGGTTTAGCGACCAAGTGTACCGTGCCCGTCGCAACGAGCTCAGCGAGATCGCGGCCAACTACCGACAGGGACAGCCGCTGCCGCACATTCACTACTCGGAGCTCGAGGTACGATCCAAATGATATAGATAGACGCATGGTCTATACCCATTTCAATACTGTAGACGCAGACGTGGGGGGCGGTCTACAACCGCATCAAGGACACGTGGGCGCAGTTTGCGTGCGACGAGTTCAACAACGCGCTCCCGATGCTCGAGCGCGAGTGTGGGTACAGCCCGACCAACATCCCGCAGGCCCACGACATTTCCACCTTTTTGAAAGCGCGGACCGGTGCGTTGCTTTGTATCAAGTTGAGACTGAGGCGCGATTAGGGTTTGTGATCCATCCGGTCACGGGGTACCTCTCACCGCGCGATTTCTTGAACGGCCTCGCATTCCGAGTCTTCTTTTGCACGCAGTACATCCGGCACCACTCGCAGCCGCTGTACACGCCGGAGCCCGACATTTGCCACGAGCTCATGGGCCACGTGCCCATGTTTGCGGACCAGGACTTCGCCGACTTTTCCCACGAAATTGGCCTCGCGTCGCTCGGTGTGTCGGACGACGAGATCGAGCGCCTCGCCGCGTGCTACATTTTTTCGGTCGAGTTTGGCATCTACCTCCAGAACGGGCAGAAAAAGGTGTCCAAATGTGATATTTTGCATCATTTTGCTCACATTTTCACAAATTAGGCGTTTGGCGCTGGCATGCTCTCAAGCTTTGGGGAGCTCGAGTACGCGTGCTCGCCGGTGCGGCCGGCCGGCGGTACCATGGACATGCCCGAGTACCGGCCGTGGGACCCATTCCACGCGTGCAAGCAAAAGTACCCCGTGACGACTTACCAGCCCGTGTACTATGTGGCCGAGAGCTTGGTATCTCGACTTGGTACATCGCTTCGGACTCATGGGCAACCAACCGTGTAGAGCCAAGCCAAGGACAAGATGCGCGAGTTCACGCGCGAGATGAAGAAGCCGTTCCATGCAACGTACAACCCCGCGACGCAGACGATTGCGGTCGACCGCGCGATTACCATCAGAGAGCGCTGCGCCAAGTAACGTCCATTTTGCGTGTTGAGCGGACCTATATGTTGAGCGGACCTACTAAACTAAATAAAAGAGCTATCGGATATAACAATCTAGCAGCTGGGCTAGTGAAGCACTCGGCAGAGAGAACGAGGAAGAAGAGGAAGAAGCAGAACGGGACACCCGATGGGGTCAACGGGCTGTGGTATTCCAGCACGAGTACATGTCATGTCGTTGAGGGAGGCCGTGGGATCGATTTTCCAGGGGCGAGTAGATTGCGGTAGAACCCAACGTCAGCGCCGTGATAAGCGTCCTGTCGTCATGGCCAGGTGAAGGCCAATATGAAGGACTCTTGGGCGAGCAAGGAGAAGCATCCCAAGTCTGGTGACGCCGGCTCACGGTGAACAAGTACCTTCTCCGCCTTCCTCTCAGGAGTTGACCAGTTGTGCGTATTGAGATGAAGCGCAGCCACTTTGCTTCTCGTCGGCACCATCGGACTCCTTCATAGATCGGTGACGTGACGACTCAGATTCCTCCTAACGCAAGTGACAACAACCTTACTAGAGTACATTACGAGGGTACGAGCAGTGGAATGGTTGGTGCACAGGCGTGTCGAGTGCTTCGGCAACGGACACACCCGTGAGGGCAAGCTGTGGGGCGCCATCAAACGCTTCGATCTGTCCTTGTATGATTGCCTACTCTCGACTACCAGCACGACGGCGACTCGATAGTACACGTGCGGCAAGGTAGAGAGTTGCCAGATTTTTCTCGATGAAATATGACGTGGCAGCGCGAGAGCGCTTTTGTCTCGGCGCCACAGATCGGGATGCTCGAGAAGTACCGTCCGTGTCGCGTAGAACGGCGCGCTGCGATACGCGCGAGTACGTCAACTGGACGGCGTTGAACCCCGTGGTGGTACGGTACCTCACGCCGCCAACGACGAGAACATCCCATTACCACATAGTTACCACACATATAATGACGACGCCGCATACATGAGCCGTGTGTGATGACGGCGCCGGCTACAAGAGTCAAATCTTGGATGCCGCAAGGGACCAGAGCCAATGATCGTGACGTTGATTCTTGGCCGTGGAAAGACGTATCAATTGCACCCCAGCTCCCAGCCGTCGAGCTCTAAACGCAGCCTCGTGATGGTCCATTCGCAGCCCATACGTGCTGTGCTAGAGCTTGGACATCTCCTTTTCGAGAGAGATGCGTCGATCTTGAACACAGTATTTAGCGTTTCTTGGAGCTCAAGTTGGTTACCATGGAGAGCTTCCTCGTGAACTGGTACCGGCGGTACGGGACCCAACACTACTTGACCGTGCCGAGTACTGTCGACGTGGCTATGGCGCATGGTGCACCCACTTGGGGCTCGACTCGGATTACATATTGGGTATACCAACCACAGCGGCAATAACAACAACAACGAACGTGTATTGACTAGAGAGATTAAGACCATTGGTTTCAAGCAACCTTCCAGGTAGAAAGAGCCGCGCACTGCAGGAAGCATGTGTGGCCAAATCAATAGCCTTTTTGAGACCTCGAGGCGCTTTGCCGTCCCTCCATCGCATCCTCGATCCTCGGAAGATCGCTGTGCCATAGAAAACGAAAGCTATCCGGAGCACCAGATGTTGCGACCACCCTATGACTCTACGCCTGTCGGGATTACGCAAGGCGAATCCAGTTGCACCACCAAAAACCAAAGCGGTCGCGACTACCGTGCACGGCAGCACGACAACGTCGTTGGGTTTAGAGAAGGCCTTCCTATCGTGCCGTAGCTCGTCCAACATTGGGGTTCTTAGAAAGTGGGGCCCTCTCCGGGACATGACCCGGATCGACCTGGTGGGAACCCAGTGTCCAAACCGCTGGACCAAAAGAAGTCGACAAGGCGCACTCCAGGCTCAGAGAGTGGGTGGAGTAGTGAGTGAGGAGAAGAGAGAGTGCTATGTTAAGAAGCCATCTGCTGTCCGCCCGACCGCGTGTAGCAGAGGAGAGTGAGCTACTGAGGATAAGAGTGAGGAAAGTTAAGGATACGCGCATGAGGAATGCGTATTTTGGGCTTATAACCAATCAGCAAGTGGGGTTCTCTCCGGGACATGAACCCGGATCGACCTAGTGTCTAGTCCGCTAGACTAAAAAAAGGTCGAACAAGAATACCCCTTCTTGACTGTGGTTGTCGACTCAGACGCCAAGAGCGACGACTCTCTTCCGCATGGAACAGTAGCGGGCGGTTCAACAGCATCGAGTAGCCACAGCCACTGGTGAGCCCCACCAACGGCACCTGATCTGGCCACGGACGGTGGCTTGAGGTTTGCGGCGTCCAAGAGGAGCGGTCTTGCCGCGCGTTTGATTGGTCCGTTCACCACATACACGGCCAGATGGCGTCGCAGGAGGAGAGACGTAATGTGGTACTGCCTACGGCTTTCCGATTGCCGGGGAGCTCCTCTGGAAGCCCGAAATTCAAGAAACCCCGCGTCTCTTCGTGGACCAAAAAACCGTTGCGTCCACCTAATCGACAGGACTAGAGCATCCCTCTCTGCGTACCAATGCAAAATACTTCTTTCAAAAGGACGCCAAAATCGAAGGATGACGCTAGCATGCGGTGCTTGTGACGGCGCACCGTTCGTTTGCTATGGTTGGCATTTGACTCATCTGCGATATGCACCAATTGCCTCAACAAAGTCAGCCTTTCGATTATCAGACCTCACATGGGTAAGGTCAATAACCCCCACCTGCATTCTGTTACAGGTGTAGTACAGTATACTTGCACCAAGTCACTTTCTTCTGGGAGCCACACTTGGACCTTCTTTCTTGGAAACTTAATTCACTTTTGCTTTTGCGCCATGGCCGACAACGCTTCGCCCAAGAGCCCCGCGGTCGCCGGCTACGCGTCCGTGTGGGACGCTCGTCCCCGCCAGTTCAAATCGGTCCTCTTCCAAGTGTGCGGCTTCATCCTCCTCATGGAAGTGTCGGAGCGCCTCTCGTACTATGGCATCAACCAAGGCTTGAAAAACTACATGAAGTCCCACTTGCACTGGACTGGCGTCTCGTCCAACTCGATCAAGAGTACGTGGACGTCGCTTTGCTACCTCTCGCCGCTCCTCGGTGCGTACCTCGCCGACGAGCGCTGGGGCCGCTTCAAGACGATCGCGATCTTTGGCACGTGGTACCTTCTTGGCGACATCCTCATGGCCGTCGCCGCGCACCCCAAGGTGCTGGGCTGGAAGGAGACCAACGTCTCTGGTGTGTTTGACAAGGAAGGCGCCGACATTGACACGGCCCAAGGCCTCTTTGTGTTTGCGCTCTTTGCTTGCATTGGCATTGGCACTGGCGCGATCAAGTCGAACGTCATTACGCTCGGCGCCGATCAGTTCAACCCGGACGACCCGAAGGAAGAGGCCCAGAAGATCACGTTCTTCTCGTACTTTTACTGGTGCGTCAACTTTGGCGCTGCGTTCTCGTACGGCTACCTCGCGACCTTGTGCGTCGAAGGCTCGGCGTCCATCTCGGAAGACTACGGGTACTTTGCGACGTTCCTCATCTGCGCGTGCGTGATGGCGGTCGCCTTGGGTTTCTTCTTCCTCGGGTCGCCGCGCTACATCAAGCTGCCGCCCAACTCGGACGCCATGTCCAAGCTCGTCAAGGTGCTCGTGCGTTCGTCGTCCAAGAGCTGGGCGGCCAAGGGCTCGTGCGGTGGCTTTGTCATCCTCCTCCTCTCGTTTGTGCTCAACTTGATTGCGGTCTTCCTCACGGACGGGTCGCCGGAGCGCAAGGGTCTCACGTACGTCGCGGGTGCGCTCGCTGTCCTCGGCTGCGTCACGTGGGTGCTCTCGGGCATCAACTATGAAAATGTCAACGCCGCCAAGCTCTCGCTCGGCGGCCCCGTCGACGACCAGTCGATCGACGAGATCAAGATGGTGGTCCGCGTCCTCCCGTTTGCGTCGTTCATGGTCATGTGGCAGTGCGTCTACGACCAGATCGACGCCAACTTTCAGTCGATTGCGCAGCAGACCGACCTTCGCTTCGGTGACGCGTGGGACGCGACGCAGCTCTCGGGTGCGGTGCTCGGTGTGTTTGACCCGATCGCGATCGTGATTTTGATCCCGCTTCTCGACGCGGTCATTTACCCGGCGTACAAAAAGTACTTTGGCAAGGCGGCGTCGCCCTTTGGCAAGGTGCTCGTCGGTCTCGTCATCTCGACAGCGACCATGTTTTACGTCGGCGGCTTTGAGGTCATGCGCAAGAACTCGGGTGTCATCATGCTCGGCAACTCGACGTACCCGGACGGCTCGTTCCCGGTCATCAACAAGGCCGGCGAAGAACCCATGAACAAGATTCTTTGGGGCTGGAACATTCCCCAGTACGTGCTCGTCGCGCTCTGCGAGTGCCTCATCAACGTGACGGCGTACGACGTCTTTTACTCGGAGGTCCCGATCTACCTCAAGTCGACGTGCCAAGCCATCAACCTCTTCATGGTCTCGATGGGCTCGAACGTCACGTCCATCTTTACGCTCCTCTTCCAAGACGACATCCCCAACAACCTCAACGACGGCAAGCTCGAAAACATGTTTTTTGCTGTCGGCGCCGTCTCGGCCATCAACCTCTTCTTCTACGTCATCGTCATGCGCAAGATGCAGTTTGGCATGGACAGCTCGCGCCACCACGTCCACGACGACGAAGTGAACGAGAAGGACGCGCTCATCGACCGGTCGTCCAACCTCATGAACGCGCGCGAGTCGTTCACGCAAATGCGCGCCTAAGCTAGTCTAGTTGAAGAGAAACAAATGTATTGTCGACGTGAATCTACATTTTTCTATTTTTTATCTAGTTTGGGGAGTTAGGCGGTAACTATTGCATAGAAGCACGTTCCTTGTGCAGCGGCCAATAGAGCGACGAGGCTCTTCAAACTAGCTCTGCAATGGTTTGGGCTAGCGTCCTAGGGTATGGAAAGCTCCTTCGCAACGAAGGCCGCAAATACAAGCCCACAATATACTGTCTTTGTTCTCGCCGTAGGTCCTGGGACCAAGACTGTCGAACCGAACCAGCCTCGTTCAGGCTTGTTCGACTGCCTCGTTCAAGAACCATCGTACATACCAGTAGTATCGCTGGCTCGACGGCGCGATCACGTCGTGGCTGCGCCACGACTGATCACTCCTACCTGTACCAGACCAAGTGCTGATTGGCTGCATTTTTTGGAGAGTGATTGCGAAGACACACATTTTCATCCAAGATCTTAGCCACCGCCAAGTCGCTGACGGACGAATCACTCGTCTCGCAACCACAAAAATGCCCTGCTCGCTGCTCATTCTGCGATTCACTGCGTCGACACGCCATTAACAAGCATGAACGTCCCCGCTCCAGTGACGACCAAACAAGAAACGACGACGGAGCAGCCTACGACAGCCAACGCGCAGGCGCTCCAGGAGCAATTCAACTACCACCTGCACGAGCTCCGCAAACTGTCGCGCGAGATGTCCGAGACGCCCAAAAGCGCTTCGATCGACGACGTGGCCGCCGCCATGCAAGCGTATTTTGAAATCAAGTACGAAAAGAAGATGGCCAAGCTCGTCGCGCACAGCCAGCGCGATGCAGACGGCCCCACGGGCTTTTTCGGGCGGTGGGGCCTTGGCGACAGTCATGGACAAGACGAAATCGACAAGACATTTCGCAAGATGCACAAGAAGATGGCGCGCGGCGGCTGGTTGCATCCTGGCGCCGTACCCATGGCCACGCCCGCGCCCATGGCTACGCCTGCACCCAAACCCGCGCCGTTCTAACGGTCCACTGCCCCACCCCTCTTTCAGCAAGCGACCAAGCGTCTCTAATTCCTACGAGTACTCGGAAATGATTTTTTTGCATTTTCCACTGTAAACTTTTTTAACTTGGATCAAAGCGTTTGATTCCCTTTTGAAAAAACATCCTGGGCACTCGTATAGCGTCTACGACAGTATCACAATATTGTCGCTCTGCTCGGCGACAGTCCCAAGGGACAAGTCTGTCCGAGCGTGAAGCCCGACTCGGTTGTTGTCAGCCCTCCGGCGCCGGAAGTATAAAGTAAGAAAAAAATACTAGTACTCGAGCATTTGAAGTGTGGGGTTAGGTTTATGCATACGTCGACTTGGTCGTGGAGATGTCGAGCTTGAGTCGTCGAAAGAGCCCGACGAGCTCGGTTTTTTTCGGGTCGTTGTCTACATTACAAGCATAGTTGATACCTTGATACAAAACAAAGGCGTACCGCGCAAGAGGCCTTGGAGATCCACAACAATATCGTCGCACGCACTCGTGAGCACGGGCGTCGCGGTCGCAAACTCAAGCTGGAGGTCGCGGGGCGCGACACCGCGAATGACGCCGAGCCAGTTGATCACGAGCTGGTACAGGCTCTCGAGCACATGGAGGCGCCAAGGCGACGGCGACGGGTGCTGGTACAAGCTCATGTACGCGCCAAAGAGCACCGCGTACGACACACCGGCGTCCAGAAAGAGACCGGCGATCCACGGCCGCGCCGTGGCGACGCCCGTCACTTTACGATACCACATCCACGCGTGCTCGATTTCGTGGAGAAGGAGCTCGACGGGAAACGCCTTGGACGGGTAGAGCTCCTTGAGGCTCAAGAGTTGGGCCTGGACATGGCTCATCCACGAAGCATGCTCGAGGTGCTCGGACGTCTTGGGCGCAATGTCGAGCGCGTCGCAGGTGCTCGAGAGCCACTTGTTGAACGTCTCGTTGCCGACCGACGTCGGGATCAGCGAGTACAAGAGCCGCTTCCACAACGTCTCGATCGTCGCCATGTCCTACACCGTCAACAACGTGTGCCTTCCCACCGCTAGCCCAGAAATGAGGTACCTCGGAGTGGCACGTGCACAGGATACGAAGGCACTCGGGCCACAACTTGTACTTGGCTGCAAACTGGTTGTACAGCGGCGAGACCGCCACAATCGTCGTCGCCAGCGCCTAACAGTGTATCGGCATGAATTTGGTGCACAGGTAGCGGCAGGTACCTCGAGGTCGGCGGCCGGCACCGACGACTGCAGCGTCGTCCAAATGTGAAGTTGCAGCGTGAGCACATGCAGCGTCTCGGTGACTTCTTGCAGCGCGCTCGTGGCTGTCGGGTCGTTTGCCGCTGCGAGGATGCTCTTGGCGCGCGAAATGAGCTCGATCCGGTCGCTGATCGGGCGACGATCCTGCGTGGACGTCGCGCGCGTCCAGAGCACGTGCGCTGCGTCCACGTACCGGTTTTGCACCAGGTACATTTGTACGAGGAGGTCTTCGTCCTTGGCCTTGAGGAATGCTTCGACTGACTGCCGGTGCTTGGCGCCCGGCAGCGCAATCAAGCGCTGGCGTTCGTCGTTCGTATAGAGCCACATGTAGAGCACCGAGTGGTAGTACGTGTCTTGCACCGAGAGGAGCTTCTGCAGCAAGTACGTCAAGCACGCTTCCCGCGCCGGGAGCGGCAGCCACTCGGTTGGGGCATGTGCGCACACGCTGCCCACGTCGTCGGCCGTGTTGCTGGTCGTCGACGCAAAGAACTGAACGCACTGGATCGTGTAGCCGTAGCAGATGCGGCGCGAGTCGTCGTCCGTGGCAAAGTGCGGCGCGGTCGCAAAGGCCAAGGCGACAATACCGTCGAGATAGCCGAGCGTAAAGTACGACGCGCAGATGCGCTCGAGGTCGAGCACATGCGTCGGCGTCTTCCAGCTCTTGGCCGCGAGCGTGAAATGCTGCAGCGACCGATCCAGGCACGCCGTGCGATCTTGCACCGTCGCACAACTTGCGGCCGCTTCCAGCTGCTGGTACCCGTGACACGCCGCGGCGTCCGTGTCCTTGAAGAAGAGCGGGCACTGCTTCTGGAGCGACGCCACCAACATGGCGTCGTTCTGGCCTTGCGTGAGGCGCGAGAGGAGCGCCTTGAGTGCGTCAAACCCGGCCGAGGTCGTGACAAGGTCGGGCAGCGACAGCGGCAGCGACCGCGTCGGCGCCAGCAGCACCAGCGACAGCGCTTGGATCGACCGCGTCGTGAACAGGTACAGGCACCGGATCGACGCTTGCTCGGCGCGCATTGCATTGTCCTGGCGCACGATCGCCGGCGTCGTTTCTTGGACGTGCGCCATGAGCTCGCGCGTAAGCGCATTCGCGGCCGACGGATCGGCCGTCCCCGCGGCTTGAAGCGACGCGCGGTAATGTGTCTCCAAGACCTGCTGGAGTCGAAAGAGCACGTTGCGGACGCGCTCGAGCGGTGCATTCTCCGACGGCAATCGCCACATGGGACGCAGCAAGCGGGATAGAAAGAGCACGAGGCCGTCGTGGTGCGCCGAGAGGCCAACGTCGTCCGTCATGACAAAGCGGTGGTTGGAGCTCGGGACGCCGCCGCTCGAGACGTTGGGCGACCCGCCAAAGTCAAAGATCGCTTGCATGGCCATCGCCACGATATGGTCGTCGCTCTTCATGCCTATCGTGTCGGTCCAGAGCGTATCTTGGGATGCGAGTGCACCGCACGCGATGGCAAAGAGCATCGCGCACGATTCCGCCGACCCAAAGCACTTGACAAAGTGACTCAGCTGCTTCTTGACGTCCTTGGTCGCATGGAGCACACGGAAGAGCTCGTCGATCGGCCGGACCTTCTTGAAGATGTGCAACCCGGCGTTCGTCAAGACAAGAAAGTGCCGCATCGGTTCGACGATCTGCGTCACGAGCTCGGACCGCATGACGGGCGCCTCGTCGACACCCACGGCGCTCGATGCGTGTGGCCGCTTGCCGTTGCCATTGAGCGTCGTCGATGGACGTGGTGGCGATGCGAGCTGCGGCACAAACTCTTCGACGGCGCTGACCTTGCCTTGGCACGAGTCGCACGCAATCGACTCGCGCATGAGCACCTTGAGCGACGCGTTGGCGTCATGCGCGTGGCGCGCCGTGAGGTCCTTTGTGAGCCCAAGCACTTGGTCGTATTCGTCAGGACCGCCGTTGATAGCTAAGAAGACACCGTGCCGGTAATAGGCCGCGTGCACGTGGGACGGACTCTTGCCCGGGAGCAGCGCCGGCGAGAGGCCTTCGGTGCGGTGGTACTCGGGCGCGTCGGCGAGCACGGTGGTCGGTGGCGGAAGGCGAATGTGCATCAGGTCCAGCCCCGATGGCCGCTTGAGCGCTGACGAGAGGAAGCCGGGCGAGAACGTCGAGAGGTAGAAGCGAATGCCCGTCGCGCTCACTGCAATCGCGTGGGTGCTGGCCGACTCGTCGCGTGCGACCACCGAGAGGGCAGTGAGCGACACCGACGTCGTGGCAAAGAGCCGCGGCTCGGGGCACGACGTGAGGTTGCGCTGGTTGCGCTGGCAGAAGCGCGACGCCTCGGTCTCGAGGTTCTTGCAGGCAATGAGCGCAAGCTCCGCGCCGGCGTCCGTGCCGAGGTCGTAGACGCTTACAAAGGCGGGCTCTTGCACGAGGTACAAGATTCGGCGTTCGTGGTCGATGCGCATGTCGACGACCTTGCCGATCGCGTCGGACGCGTTCGTGAACGTCCGGAAGAAGCTCGGGAGGTACTGCGACAGTGATTGCGCGTGCGACTCTTTGCGGCACTGGCGCTTCCAGCCGAGCTGGTGCAACATGCCTTCGTCGCTGTCGTAGACGAATTCGTGGAGTTGCCCGTCCGAGCCGCCAAAGAAGATGCGGCCATCGCGTGTGGAGACGATCTTGCGCACGATGCAGTCATCGGTCGAGATGCTGAGCTTGGTCGCGCTCAGGCGCAGCCCGCCGTCGGCGTCGGGCAAGACCACGAGGAGGCGCATCTCGCTCGCGGTTGCAACGACCAAGACGTGCTTGACAAACGCCTTGAAGACGCCAGGCAGCGGCGTTGCAATGCCCACGGCGCAGATGACTTGCTCCATGCCCTCAAAGACCACGACGCGCGTCGCCTCGGCCGTGTAGTCCCAGAGAAAGAGCGTGTTGTCGACCGAGACCCACGCATGGTGCAGCTCCTGCAAGAGGCCCGAGAAGGAGCTCGAGACCATCTTGTCGTACGCAGACGCGATCGCGCTCGGGTACGGCAGGATCTTCTGCTTGTGCACGAGCTGCGGCGACCAGGCGCCTGCCGTGTACGGCTCGAAAAAGTAGTTGTGCGCGGTCGGCTCCGAGTGGTTGGCCACCTGGTCCGCGAGGTCCGGGCTCTTGCAGTCGCCGGCGTGGGCCTGCTCGAGCACCTTGAAGCTCTGCCCGAGGGCCTCGGCGTCCTGGAGGTCCCCGCCCATGCCTTACCACTGGTCGTCCTGGGCTCGTCAAAGGTTATTGGCCGCGAAACAACCTCACACAAAGTATGGCGAGGCAATCCGGATACGACCACAATATCCGAACACGCCTATCCGGATACGCTGTCTTTTCCCTGCACAAGCCAAGAAGCGCAAGCATGTTGACAGACCTTATCGTCGCCGTCGCGCAGCCGGCCAGTCGACGTCGCCGCCGATGCAACTTGCAGTCGTCGCATGCGTTGGGTGGTTGGCGTTATGGCCACGCAGAACGTAGCTGCTCGGACGACGACCACGCCGCCTGGCGGCAAGGTGTACCTTGGAGAGACATCGCATCAGGACAGCGTGTTGCTGCTTCGTCGCGCACTGGCGCGGCCAAGAGGTCGCGTTGCATCAAAGGAACGAGCGTGGGCTCATGCACGTCGACCTCTAAGAACGCGTTGATTCTGGTATCTGCCCGTGCAATTGGAGTCCGAGTGCTCTGCTACTGTTGGCAAAGCGGCAGCCATGGTGACGCACAAGCCGCCTACGACTTAACCAGCAGCTTTGCGAGCCCCAAAACGCTGTGACGCTGCCAGCTGACGTCGCCACACAATCCGTCACGGGCCAATGCGCCAAGGACATTGTTGGTAGTCCCTGACGGGCGACCCACGCGACGCGGCGAGAGTACACTCGTACTTGTCAGCTACTCCACTTGCCAAGTGATTGCAATGGCCGATGAATTGATGGCGTTACTGGCCTTTGTACGCAATGGACGTTTGTGCCATCCCAGGCCGTGGACACTGCGAGCTCTTGTCCCACGGCCGCTGGTGTCGCGAGCGCACTACACCAATGTGTATACGAATACGCGCCCATCCTCGGAGCAAGGACTGTGTACGAGGAGCTTCTAGCATCCGTGAGCTCCATCGATGCAAATCAAACGCTTATCCGGATCGTCCGGCGTTTCTGTAGATCGCGCGCAGAGACAAGAAACAACGGCCGCGTCGTCGCCACCGTGCGGAGATGCTTGCGTCGTCGCGATCTGCCTCCTCGCATGCGAGTACCCAGTAGCTATTGTATCGACGCCGTTCTCTCTACCTACACAGCCTCGTTCACAGCGTCCAGCGACTTGGAGCTGGCGAGCACGCTCGTGTCTAGTACAGCGAGCACAGGACCTTGGCCCATAGTAGCGACATCCACCGTGGTGCCGTCAACACGACGAGCACGCGTCGTCCGCACGGCCTTTTGTCGGCGTAAAGAAATGACGGCTTTGGAGGCTCCGCGTATGTCCTTGGCAGCGACTTTGCGGCCTTGGCAAAGCTCGTCCGCTCTTCTAGTCGACGCTTGCACGCGACTGCGCAATCAAAGAGGTGGCGCGCGTCGAGCAATGTGAAGTTGAGTTTGAATTTGAATGGCACGCCGTTGAGTTGCCGAACACCCATGTGGCCGGTTAATTTCCCGATCGCGGAATTGTATGACAGTGGTATTTTTATAAAATGAGAAACCAAGCTTGGTGTTTGTATGTAAGAAGATGAATATGAAATAAAAATCGACGCCAAATGATTTTACGCGATGGCTGCACCACAGAACATTCTTGTGTGTCATCAAATCTTATTTGACCGGATCAAGGCAACATGGCCACTCGCCTCAACCTTGACGAGCCTCGCTGGGACCAGAGCACGTTCGAGGGTCGCGCCAAGCACTTTCTGACGACGACCAACCCGCTCAACGTGCTTGCGTCCGACGCCGACCTCGACGCGGCCAAGGCGCTCATCGAGCAGTACAAGTACGACGACCAAGCCGACGACGGCTTTGCATGGCTCATGGGGTCCACTAGGGCGGGCACGGAGCCGGCGGGTATCAAGGACGAAGACGTCTGGGCTGCCAAGCACCTCTACGACTCGGCGTTCCACCCGGACACGGGCGAAAAGAACTTCATCTTGGGTAATGCGTCCTGCAATGGCCAACGCGCTGACAAACGGCTGGTCTGTAGGTCGCATGGCGTTCCAGGTGCCCGGCAACATGGCCATCACCGGTTGCATGATGACGTTCTACCGGTCGACGCCGGCCGTCATCTTTTGGCAGGTCCGTGGAAGTCTTGTGTTCTTTGGCTTGCAGCTCAATGACGCGTAGTTTATGAACCAAACGTTCAACTCGATCGTCAACTACACCAACCGCAACGCGAGCACGGGCGTCACAACCGAGCAGCTCGGCCAAGCGTACATTGCCGCGTCGACCATGTCGGTCGCCACTGCGGTGGGCATGAACAAGTTTATCGCGAGCCGCCCGAGCCTCAGCGGTATCGAACCCACGTCGTCGTCCCAACGTAGATCTTATTTGAAATTGCGTAGGCGGTCTCATCGGTCGCTTTGTGCCGCTCATGGCCGTCGCGGCCGCCAACTGGGTCAACATCCCGCTCATGCGCCAGCGCGAGCTCGTTGACGGCATCGACGTCGAGACGGCCGGTGCGTTCCTCCCTTGCTACGATTGCATGCAACGAGACTGACGCGTGCAATGTGCTGTAGACGGCGAGCTCATTGGCAAGAGCAAGGTCGCGGCCCAGAACGCGGTGCTGCAGGTCGTGCCATCGCGCATCCTCATGGCGGTGCCCGGCATGCTCTTCCCGCCGCTCGTCATGGCCAAGCTCGAGCAGGGTACGCTGTTGAAGCGGTCGCCGATGCTTGCGGCGCCCATTATGGTGCTCCTCACGGGTCTCTGCCTCTCGTTCTCGACGCCGCTCTGCTGCGCGCTCTTCCCGCAAAAGAGTGCAGTCGCGAAAAGTGACCTCGAGCCCGAGCTCCAAGCCATCATTGACGCCAAGTACCCGAGCACGGCCCACGCCTTCTACAACAAGGGCTTGTAAACGAAACATGTATCGTGTCGTGTCCAAGGTGCAGTAGAAAAGGCTTAGTTTGCAAACGGCAAGCAAATACGGGCATTGAAGCGTGGCGAGGCCCATGTAGCTCACGACGGGCTAGGCACAGCCGCCGACGCGGTCGCGCGGAATCAAGCGCAGCTCGGTGCCATGCTTGAGAAAGACGTTGCCGGCGGTCTGCGACGGGTTGATGCCAATGCCATCTACATGCACACAAGGTCGTCAATGCGAGCGCAGCTGCAAGCGGACCGTTCGTGATGATGGCGCTCGTCGCCGCAGGCACGCGAAACTCTTCGGCGACGTACTTGAGGACGGCGGTGAACGGCGCTTCCTCGGGCACGCTGACGCTAGACAGGACGAGGAGGTGGGTCAGGGCGCAAGTCGCGCGTAGGTACATGCGGAACGGCAGCTTCGGGTCCGACGTGAGCGTGATCTTGAAGGTCACCTTCCCAGACCTAGGACGACGCATGCGGTCAGCCCTCGCCGGTCGTCGGCAGGCCTACATGCTGCGTACGATTTCTGGTATCCGGATGCTTGTGCAAACTCAAATGGTGTGTTTTTCGATCGTGCAGGCTTGCAATGGCTAAACACACGCGACGATTGGGCGTCGGCAGTGACGGACCCGGGACCCACTCCATGGACGGAGATAATCGCGCTGCAGCAAAACCACACGCTTTATGGCACGCCCTATCTCAAAGAATATCTCAAAGGTGCTGTATAGGACGGGCTGTACAACTAGTAGGTGCCCTCGCGGTGTTGGGTGCACAACCCTATCCCTCCATGCAACGGCGCTCGCCGCCGCTGACAAGGTGGGCATTACCCACTACGAACAGTTAGTAGAGAACGCGATACGTTTGTGTTGTTGCGAGCGAGGTGCGTGGCCATGTTGTCTGCAGTCGGACCAAAGTGTTGTCATACAGCTTCTTCCTCGGCTTCGAGCGCCTGGGTAGCGCCGCCAAGACGCACGGAGCGTTTTTCATCACGTCTGGACGTGCCCCGACCAAGGTGCACGGCTCCGTATGGCAAGGTGGTAGCAAGTGGACGCCCCGTCGACCATGAACATCGCAAGTCGTGTGACGGTAGTCGGCCCACGTCCTCCCATGCATGTGCCTACGGCAAGTTCGATAGCCTATCGGACTTGTCGAGCCAAGAAGACTGTCCGCAACTGATTACACGATGAGCATTTTTCCGCTGCGTTGAATCAACACACGACACCTCTCTTGACTCTTAGAAGCCTGTCAGTGCCACAGCTGCAGCCACTCGGAGTCTCTCTCTTCCTTGCACGTGTTGACGCCAAGGGTCTTGTCGCCGCGGGCCTCGAGGCAGATGCCGGCGTGGTTGAGGTGCTTGACGCGGTTGTCGGTCGATGCCCACTCTTGATTGCGGTTGCCATACCCGCAGTCAAACGTATGCAGCTTCAACACCCACCACTTGACGCTCGGGTCGGCGCTCCAAAATGCGTCAATGCACTGGCTGTTGCTCTGGGCTTGGAACGTATGGCCATTGTCGTCGTACGCAAAGAGCTCGTTGACGTTGGGCACCGCGTTGTTGACGTACAAGCCGGTGCTCCACTCGGATACGACGTGGCCATTCCGCGCTGTGATCCGCGTCTGCGCATTGTCCAGCCGCCGGTGACTAGCATCGTCATACTCCTTGTAGACTGCAAAAAACTGAACACGGTCCCGGAGGTCGTTGCACCATTGGCCAATGAGCGGGTTGGTCGCGGGCTTGATCGGGTTGAGCGCGACGCAAAACGACGACGGGTGGCGGATCCGGTTCTTGTACACGACAAAGTTTTGCTGGTAGCAGCCAGCAGGCGCACAGCACGGCGTCAAGACAAGCTGGTTATTGGGCGTGATCGCCAAGCACGAGTCGTTCCGGCCCATCGACCGCAGCGTCTGGTGGTTGGCATTGTACTCGAACCACTCGTCCGAGCCGTTCCCGGGCGTCGCCTCGAGGTAGATCCGGTCGTCCACTTGGCGAATGACACCGCGGTTTGGCATCGTCAGTCGCATCGGCTGCAGCTTGAGGGTCTCGTCTTCGAGCACAAAGCCCTCTGGGTTATCGCTCTCGAGCCACCGCCGGTGCGCGATCCCGTCCCGCGGTTCAAACAAGAGGCGCCGTCGTGGCGGCCGCGGCGTTGGGCTGGCCTCTGTCGGCGGAACGAGGCGAAAGCGTTGGCTTTCGCTAGCTGGGTCGCACAAGTAGACGGCAATCGGGCTCGTGCTCGCGTCCCAGCACCACCCGCGGTAGTACCGATGCGCAATCTGCATGGATGTCTCGTCGTACCGCCACGGTAAGTTGATGCTGGACCCCAGACAGCGCCAGAGACCAAGGCGGAGCTTCATGTGGACGTTGTAGGCCGCGCCGCCTTGGAGCACCATCGGATGCAAGAAAGCACCGACGCACTGCACCGCGCTCGCCGAGTAGAAAACGCCAGAAAAATTCGTGTAGCTAAAGAGCTCATTGCGCGCGCTCGCATTCGATGGCGCTGGCACCAAATGGCCGTTGATTTCGGCCACGGTCAAGTCGTCAAAGGTGCGGATGCGGTACGTCCCGGTCGGAATCGCTGCGACTGCAACCAGGACAAGCAGTAGGAAGTGACCGAACCATCGCATCTTGCACACTGAGACGAAGACGATCTGGGAGGGACACACAACCATCTTGCTGTGATTACAAAGGGGCCGGTGGTAACCAGTTCCGACGGAATTTTAGGGTTGGTGTATTACTCGCTCCGACCCGCATGGCGTTCAACGCGTTTCAACCGAAATCCGTGATGTTAAAGCTATATAACGCATATCACGCACGGGTAAAAATGTTTACCGCACGATTACCGCGGTTCGAACCATGGCGTGCGTCCTGATCTGCACGCTGGTCCTGTCTGCAAAGCACCGAGTACTGTGGGAGGAACGCGGACAGGAGTCATGTATACGCCGAGACACAAAAACGCCAGAGCCGGGAAGCGCCACGTAGGGTCCAAGTAGGCAACAACATAATCAAGACGCGTTGCCAGGTCGAATCGTCGTTGAATCACAAGGTATACTCCATTTGATCCATCCATAGTTATCTTATATAAATCATATCGCGCCCTACCGGTAGAGTTCGAGCCATTCGCCCGGTGTAAAGCCATTTTTGCACGAGTTGACGCCGAGCGTGCCGTCGTTGCGTGCTTCCATGCACATGCCAGCGTGGTTGAGGTGCTTGATGTGGTTGAACTCGGCCGACCACTCTTGATTGCGGTTGCCATACCCGCAGTCAAACGTGTGGATCTTCAACACCCACCATTTGACGCTCGGGTCGGAGCTCCAGAACGCATCAATGCACTGGCGGTTGCTCTGCGCTTGGAACGTATGGCCGCCGTCGTTGTAAGTGAACCACTCGTTCTTGTTGTTGACGGCCCAGTTGACGTAGAGACCGGTCGTCCACTCGGAGATGAGCTTGCCGCTCGCCGCGCGAATGCGCGTGTCGAACGCGTCGAGGCGGCGGCGGTTGCCAATGTCCGGGGCGCCCGGGTCTTCCTTGTACACCGCGAGCCACTGGTCGGTGTTGCGCTCGTCGTTGCACCAGATACCAGCCATGGGCTTGCCAGCGTCCGGCTTGTACTGGTTGCGCGCAACGCAAAACGACGTCGGGTGGCGGAGGCGGTTCTTATAAAAGACAAACTGCTGGCTCTGGCACATCTCGGGCGCGCAGCACGAGCTAAAGTAGAGGCGGTTGCTCGGGTGCAGCGTTAAACAGCTCGAGTTCATCTCGGGCGAGAGCGACCGCAGCGTCTGCTGGTTGGCGTTGTACTCGAACCACTCGTCGGTCGTATTGCGCGGTGTCTCTTGCACGTAGAGCTCGGTGCCCACGAGCTGGAGCACGCCCTTGCTTAGCAGCGTAATGCGCATTGGAAGGAGCTTCTCGGACGGATCCGCAAGGCGAAACCCCGGTGGATTGTCACTCTCGAGGCGGCGGCGGTGGTCGCGAATGCGCAGCGCCCGAGGTGTCGGCTTGTTGGGTCGTGGCGTCGGTGGCGGCGTCTGAGCAGCGACGAGCCGGAACCGCTGCGTCGCGCTTCCGGGGTCGCAGAGGTAGATCGACACGGGGCTAGTGACCGCGTCGAGGCACCACCCGTCGTAGTAGTCGTGCTTGAACTGGCGAGACGTCGCGTCGTACTGCCACGGGACGTTGACACTGTCGCCAATGCAGTACCAGAGACCGAGGCGGAGCTTCATGTGCACGTTAAAGTCGGCGTCTTGCAGCACCATGGGCTCGAGCTGCCCGCCGAGACACTTAGACGCACTCTGCGCCATGAGCTTGCCGCTGCCGTCGGTGTAGTCGAAGATTTCGTTGATCGCATTGTTGGCCGACGGCGTTGCGACAACAATGTTGCCGTTGGACTCGGCGAGGACGCGGTTCGTCGACGTGTAGATGCGGAAGTTGGCCGCGTCGACCACCGTCATCGCCGCCAGACCGAGCACGACGCCGAGCTTGCACATGTATCGCAGCTGCATGACGATGTACCGTATTCGAGCGAAAAGGCAAAGTGAGGCCATCGGATATCAGGCGCATTTATGCTGCGTGACATGCGTTGCTTAGCACAAGCTGGTGGCGAACCAAGGTTAGAACTGTGACTCACATGGGTCTGGCATTCCATGCACCAGTGATCCCATCGAAATAGTGTGCATCCACACCAAGTGATGCGTGCGCGCGAGCTTGTTGGCCTCCTCCGCCACGGTGACGCCCCACCGCCGCCCTTCTTCGTAACGCGCGTCACGTCGAGAGCTCTCCGTAAACACAGTCGAGCATTTAGTCCATCGATTTCGATTCTCTTCCGCACCGACAACAATTAGTGTACAACGAATCCAGATACCGTACTTTGCCATCCAAGAAGACACCCGCCGAGTACTGTAGGGCATAGTATGACTGTAGCGGACGAGGCGAAGATGCACTGGGACACGACATTGGCGCAGCCGCGGGACGTTGCTCTTGCGCAGCTCGCAGCGTAGCGTCCTGTAGCGTGAACCACCAAATCCTATGGTGTGCCCGGCGTTGCATCATCAGCCAAGGCATCGTGCAAAGCAGCAGCACCGAAACGTGGACTTGGCCAGGCGACGCGCCATGATTGGTGGTCCTCGTCGCGGTCGACGCGCTGGATTGGCCGAGTCGACATGGTTCAGAAAGGCGGCGATGGGATGTGGGGATATAGCAAGTGCGTGCCACGGTGTGTGATCTCAGATGCGCACAGCCGTTCGCCTGATCGTAGTATACCGTGTACATGACTAATAGCGACTCGGCTCGAATCTGGTAGCTGTGCCCTTGCGCCGCTTATTATTCCGACTTGCTTTGCATTGGAGGCCAGACAGTGTAATGCTCTGCCGTGCAGGTTGCACCCAGGCGCGCGCGCGCCTCCAGCGTGGCCAGCAAGTTTTGCAACAGGCGACGCCGCCGCGGGTTGAAGCTACTTGCAGACGCTACCGGTAACGACAGAGAGGGTGCGTCGTCGTGTTGAGAGACTCGAGGGCGAGCCTGGTCGGTGCGGACTTGCGTTGGGTGCTGCTGTGCAATTGTGGGATGCTTGGCGTCTACGTGCGAAAGAAATTGATTCCCAGCCAGATTCACCGCCGACAAGATCAGCGCAACTGCGCTTGCCCGCCTTCGGAACCGCACGCTTCTGGCCCACTTCAACAACGCCAACGCGCACCGACGCTGTTGGAATGGCGTCGCAGTGGGCGAGCGCGTCGGGACTCCTGGTCGACAGACGACGACACTGCCGCTTCAGCCATGCGCTATCCCGTCGCTCTAGAAGCGCTCGTAGACTCATCGAGACCCCGAGGGCTCATACATCGAACGACGACGGATGATGTGGATGAAGTGAATCGTGGTGCTCGCTGGCGCTCGCATCACTTTTGTATACTACGTAAACGCAATCGTATGGGAACATTTATCTATCTATCTATCTATCTATCTATCTATCTATCTATCTATCTATCTATCTATCTATCTATCTAGAGCCTATCCATGTTGTCCGTCAATCAGCGGCGCTAAGAACCACCTGGCCAATCAAACGGGCGCATTTCACGATATGCGCAAAAAGCTCCCTCACTCAATCAAGACCGAACTTCTTGGGGGCAACAACCGTGCTGGTGTCTTCCGTGCCAGTGGTGGGCGAGGCGGGGTAGCTATTTGACTGAAACTACAAATTTGGAAATGGCTTGAGCTCGCTTGCTCTGCGCCTGGATCTTGGATCTTGGTCTTCTAGATCGCTCAGACTTGCGCGGAAAACCACTTGCACTTCTTGGAAACGGCCCAATTCCGAATGTCGTGCAGTCCGGAGGGCGGGAGCCGCCGAGTGGCAATGGTAAGACCGTCGTGCGTGTCCCTAGCCAC